GTCTCAAGCTGTCACCCTGGGTAGAGTGCCATGGTGTCCTAGCTCACAGCAACCTACAGCTCAGACTGAATCAATCCTCTTGCCTCAGTTTCTCTTCTTTTTTTTTTTTTTTTGTAGAGACAGAGTCTTTTTTCACTCTCAGTAGAGTGCTGTGGCCTCACAGAGCTCACAGCAACCTCCAGCTCCTGGGCTTAGGTGATTCTCTTGCCTCAGCTTCCCAAGTAGCTGGTGCTCACCTCAACACCTGGCTATTTTTTGTTGCAGTTTGGGCAGAGCTGGGTTTGAACCTGCCACCCTCAGTATACGGGGCTGGTACCTTACTCACTGAGCCACAGGCACTGCCCAATTTTTCTACTTTTAGTAGAGATGGGTCTCCCTTTTGCTCAGGCTGGTCTTGAACTTGTGAGCTCAAGCAATCCACCCACCTTGGTCTCCCAGAGTGCTAGGATTACAGGCATGAGCCACTGAGCCCGGCCCGTTTTTGTTTTTCAAAGAGAAATAGCACAAAATTATATCCCAAGTCTCCCTTGAGATCTTCTATCTTTTTGGCCTGAAAACTAACCTGAGGGTAGGAATGACGAAGGGCCAGCCATGTCTTGTGAAGTCACCTTTGCTGTATGTTTAGTAACAGAATTTACTAGATAGCTTGTGATGAGTGCCCGGAAAGGCTCACCTTTCAAAAGGCTGATTGAGGCTGAGAGTTGAGCATTCAGCTTCAGACCCCTTTCTTTGAGCAAGCTGTGGTAACACATCCTGCTTTGCTGGAACTCAGACCTCTGAAGGTGTCAATATAAGTGCTCTGAAGGGTGAGCACAGGGAAAGCGGGTCTGGTAGGTTAGAAGGCTGAGGTTCCTTCTGCACTTTTGTTTTTTTTTTTTTTTTGCAGATTTTGGCCAGGGCTGGGTTTGAACTTGCCACCTCCGGCATATAGGGTCAGCGCCATACTCCTTTGAGCCACAAGCACCACCCTGCACTTGTTTTCTTGTTATGTGACTTCGGCAAACTGCTGTCTCTCTGGGCCTTGCGTTTCCTGACTATATAATCAGAGGCTGATTAGGACCCAGGGACCCATGTGCCCATGCTCCCTGACATCAGGGATGGAGGCAACAGGGCCTCTTCAGAGCAGCAGCCATCACTGCTTTTGGCTTAGGGGACTCTCAGCCTGGGATTGCTGGGCCTTTGGTTTCCTGAGAAACAATCTAGATGTTGCTATCCATCCTCATGGTGTCACTTGCTGTGTGCATGTGTCTCCTGTATTACCCTGAAAGGTAGGTCTGTCCCTTAGCCACAGTCACACATATTATGAACACTGAATTGTGGTTAGGACAAAGTGAGATGTGCTGTGAGCCAGGCACAGTGTCTCACACCTGTCATCCCAGCTCTGGGGGAGCTTGAGGTGGGAGGATTGCTTGAAGCTGAGAGTTCAAGATAGGCTCTGAGCTGAAAATATACACTGGGTTTCAAAGACTTAGTATAGAAAAAGAATATAAAATAGCTCATTAATTTTTTCTTTTTTTTTGAGATAGACTTTCACTGTGTCGCCTTCAGTCAAGTGCGTGGTGTCACAGCTCACAGCAACCACCTGGGCCTAGGCGATTCTCTTGCCTTAGCCCAGGGGTCCTCAAACTTTTTAAACGGGCCAGTTCACTGTCCCTCGGACCATTGGAGGGCCGGACTGCGGGCCCCGGGATAAGTCGGCTGCTAAGCAGGACAGGCAGCGGCGGCAAAAACACCCGGAGGGCCAGATAAATGTCCTCAGCGGGCCACAGTTTGAGGACGCCTGCCTTAGCCTGTCCAGTAGCTGGGACTATAGGTGCCTGCCACAATACCCAGGTATTTTTGTTGCAGTTTGTCTAGGTCCAGGATCAAACCTGCCACCCTTGGTATATGGGGCTGGTGTCCTATCCACTGTGCCACAGGCGCTGCCCCACTCATTAATTTTTTCATAGTCCATGTTGAAATATCTTTTGTACATTGGGTTGCAGAAAAAGTATTCCAAGTACTTCCTATGTTTAGTTCTCAAATGTGGTTGCTAGAAAATTTAGAATTGTGCATGCAGGGCTTATTTATAGCTCATCCCATTTCCACTGGACATTGCTGATAATACATGTCAGATCTTAGGGTGTCATCTTATGGGGGCTTTATATTTTGACAGAGGCAAATGGGATCAGATTTTTCCTTTATGGTTCTTGCCTGTTAGCTTTTGCTGAATCAGCCTTCCATACTTGGAGGTTCAGACTCGTTCTCTCATACGTATCACATAAGGAAACTCTGGCTGCTTCTGTTTTCCTCTTGAGTCCTATTTAGTGGGACTTTAAGCAACAAGGGAAAACCTAAACTTCAGCATGATGCCCCTTGAAACTTCCCAGGTGATGTAATAGAACCAGTGGTGTTCACGTGCTATAAATTTAAGGGGCAGGAGCCTTTCTGAGGTGCCTCAGTGGGATTGGACAGCTAGAATGTTCCAGCATCCTCATCTCTCACAGGGATGATTCTCTTGATGACTGTCGTATCATCTTTGTGGATGAAATCTTCAAGATTGAGCTCCCAGGCGAAGGGAGCCCCATGGTTGAGAATCCCATGAGACGTGAGTACTGAGTGTGTCTCCCCTGTTCTCCACAGTGGGCATGGGTTGAGGGTGCCCGTCCCATTCCCAGCCTGGTTGGGCCTTGGAGCTGACCTGGCCTCTGTGTTCAGGGAAAAGTGGGCCCACCTGCAAACACTGCAAGGACGACATGAGTAAGCTCTGCCGAGTCTGCGCCTGCCATGTGTGTGGGGGCCGGGAGGACCCTGACAAGCAGCTCATGTGTGATGAGTGTGACATGGCCTTCCACATCTACTGCCTCTGCCCGCCCCTCAGCAGCGTTCCCAGTGAAGAGGAGTGGTGAGTGGGGCCTGTCCTGTCTGGGGCAGTGTAGCCCATGGATACGTAGGCCTGTCTGGGTCCAGACTGCAGGGTCTCTGGCAGACAGAGCAAAGGGCATCATAGCTTCCGCAAAAGGAGGCCTCTCAGCCACTGTACTCACAGCGCTAACAATGATAACATTGGATGGGAACGGGAAGGCCCTGCTGCGCTGGGCTGTGGTCTGAGGACCCTCCCTGCAGCTCGAGTAGGAGCTCTCCCCTCCTTGTCCCACCTTATGGAGGGGGGAAACTGAGTTTAGGGCACTGGTCAGTACCCACTGAGTTGCCTAAGTCTTCCCTGCATCATAGTCGGGCTGACTCTCTATGGGAAGGACTGTGGGCTTCTAAGTGAGAGAACCTGTTTCCCACAGAACGTTCCATGACAATGGAAATGTTCCATTTCTGTGACATCCACGTGGCTGTGCAGTACTTAGGGTCAGGAGCATGAAGCTGGGTTCTTGACTTTGTTTAACTTGAATGGATTTTGGTGGCCTCCATTTTAGATAGGGCAGGAGGACAGCAGTGCTGGGAGGGGACACCTGCGTTGGATGTGGGAGGGCACAAATCAGCCAGAGGGTTGTCTGCTGGGACCACAGTGACAGAATGTCACTCCTGCCACCTTAGGTACTGCCCTGAGTGTCGGAACGATGCCAGTGAGGTGGTGCTGGCAGGAGAGAAACTGCGCGAGAGCAAGAAGAAGGCGAAGATGGCATCGGCCACGTCGTCCTCACAGCGGGACTGGGGCAAGGTGAGTCCTGGCCCCCTCGTGTGTGGTCCTGCTGCCCCCTGCTGCCCCACCAAAGCTCATGCTGCTGTTGCCTTTATGTCTTTAATGTGGACAGGGCATGGCGTGCGTGGGCCGCACCAAGGAGTGTACCATCGTCCCATCCAACCACTATGGACCCATCCCAGGGATTCCTGTGGGCACCATGTGGCGCTTCCGAGTGCAGGTACCCATAGCCCTTGCTCTCAGGGCTGCATGTGCCCATCCTGTGTCTGTGGTGTGTTGGTGGCTAGGGCTGAGTCAGGAGCCTAGTGGCATCTTGGCTGGCCAGGGAGGGCAGGAGAAGCCTGGAGACTTTGGTTTGTTCCTGTAGTTTACCAGAGGCCTGAAAATGCTCCCAAGGATGGTTTAGGTGCCCATCGCTTAGAGGCTCATAAGGCTTTTCCCAGAAGTTGCCATTGTAGGGAAAAGTTGGCATCAGCCAAAGTGGGTCCATTTTAGCACTGGCCAGTCTATAATGATAGCGTGAGTGCTGTCAGCCTTTGGTGATAGTGATATTTGGGTTGGATAGTTCTCTGGGGTGGGGCCATTCTGGGTACTGTAGGGAGCTGAGCAGCGTTCCTGCCTCCACCTACCCCATGCCAAGAGCTGCCTTGCCCTGGTTGTGACAGCCACAGATGTCCATGGACATCAGAATGTGCCCTGGGGGCAGGACTGCTTGTGGGTGAGACCTACTGAGCTGGATTAACAAGACAGCGCTTGTCACAGAGCTTGCAGGGTTAGGTATGGAGAGGATAGATGCTCTGGAGGCAGTATTGCACTTGACTCACAGTAGCTGCCCCAGGTGGGCACCCATCACTAGGCTTGCTCAGGATGTTGAGCAAGTGGCTGACTGAACCTCAAGTCTGCCCTTTTATTTTTCATTTATTTTTATTGTTTTTTTGTGGGGACAGAGTCTATGTCACCCTTGGTAGAGGGCTATGGCATCACAGCTCACAGTAACCTCAAACTCTTGGGCTTAAGCAATTCTCTTGCCTCAGCCTCCCAAGTAGCTGGGACTACAGGAGCTTGCCATGATGCCTGGCTATTTTTTGGTTGTAGTTGTCATTGTTGTTTGGCAGGCCCGGGCCAGATTCAAACCCATCAGCTCCGGTGTATGTGGCTGGTGCCCTAGCTGCTGAGCTATAGGCGCCAAGCCATTTTTCTTTTTTTGGCCAGGGCTGGGTTTGAACCCGCCACCTCCAGCATATGGGACCGGTGCCCTACCCTTTTGAGCCACAGGCGCAGCCCTCCAAGCCATTTTTTAATTTTTAGAGTCAGGGTCTCAACTTTGTCATTTAGGCTGTAGTACAATAGACGTTCACTGCAGCCTCCAACTCCTGGGCTCAAGCGATCCTTCTGCCTCAGCCTGCTGAGTAGTAGGGCTACAGCTTTGTTACCATGTTCTTCCAACTTTTGTGGTTTTTGTAAAGATGGGGTCTTGCTATGTTGCCCAGGTCTCAAGTGGTCCTTCTGCCTCAGCCTCTCAAGTGCTGAGATCACAGGCATGAGCTACCCTATGCAATAGAGGGCAGCATTTACATTTTCATTTTGAACTCTAGTCATCCAAGATCAGGAATGGGTGGCCCTGTGGGTACAATGGGGTGGGAGGTGTTGGAATTCAAGCCAGCTCTGTTCTTGGCATGGCTTGAACTCAGTTATCTCATGGTGAAGTGGTGACTTGCTGGCCTCATGCATTGGGTAAAATGTCAGGCCCCTAGCCTCTTGAGGTGGGAGGGGATGGGGCAAGGTTGATTGTTCATGTAGCCATTACTGCAGAATGTGCCACGTATTTCTTGATGGTATTGGCAGGTTAGCGAGTCAGGTGTTCATCGGCCCCATGTGGCAGGTATCCACGGCCGCAGCAATGACGGAGCATACTCCTTGGTCCTGGCAGGGGGCTATGAAGATGACGTGGTGAGAATGTTTAGGGGGTTGCTTTATTTGAAATACACATAACACAATTTACCATCTAAACCGCTTTCAGTTCACAGCTTGGCAGCATTAGGCACACTCATGTTATTGTGTAGCCTTCATCACCCTCCATCTCTAGAACTTTTTCATCTTCCCAAACTGAAACACTCTGTCCCCATGAAACACTAAGGACCTGTCCTTTCCTCAGCCTCTGACACCCACCCTTCTACTTTCTTTGTGACTCTGACCACTCTAGGAACCTCCTGAAGAATTACACAGGATGGGTCCTCTTTTGTCTGGCTTATTTCATTGAGCATCATGTCCTCAAAGTCCATCCATATTGCAGCCTGTGTCAGAATTTTCTTTTCATGGCTAAATAATGAAAACATGTGGATGGACCATGTTCTATTCTTCCATTCTTCATCCATGCATACTTGGGCTTCTTCACCTTTCGACTGTTGTGAATCCTTTTGCTACAAACATGAATGTAGAAATGCTTTAAGTCTCTGCTTTGAGGCTTGGCGCCTGTGGCTCAAGTGGCTAAGGTGCCAGCCACATACACCTAAGGTGGCGGGTTCTAATCCAGCCTGGGCCCGCCAAACAACAGTGACAGCTGCAACCAAAAAATATCCAGGCGTTGTGGCGGGTGCCTGTGGTCCCAGCTACTTGGGAGGTTGAGGCAGGAGACTCACTTGAGCCCAGGAATTGGAGATTGCTGAGAGCTGTGATGCTATGGCACTCTACCCAGGGGGACAGCTTGAGGCTCTGTCTCAAAAAAAAAAAAGTCTCTGCTTTGAATTGTTTTGAACTTATACAATATTCAGAATTAGAATTGCTGGATCATGTGATAATACTATGTTTAATTTTTTTCTCTTTTTTTTATTGAGAGTCTCAAGCTGTTGCCCTGGGTAGGAGTGCTGTGGTGTCATAGCTCACAGCACCTCAAACTCTTGGGCATAGGCTATTCTCTTGCTTCAACCTCCCGAGTAGCTGGGACTACAGGCACCCGCCACAATGCCTGGCTGTTTTCTGTTGCACTTGTCATTTTTTGCTTTCGCTGGCCTGGGCTGGATTCAAACCCACCAGCCTTGGTGCATGTGGCTGGCACCCTGCCCACTGAGCTACAGGTGCCACCTATATTTAATTTTTTGAGACCCACGAAGGGTCCATAGTACTTGCACCAATTTTGCCTTCCCACCAAAAGTGCACAAGGGTTCCGGTTTCTCCACATTTTCACCAGCACCTATTTCTTTGACAGTAGCCATCTAGTGGGGTTGGTTTTCAATGGAGTCTCTTTTCCTCTGTATGGAGGGTTCACCCAGCCTTCTTGTGTGTTTCAGGACAATGGGAATTTTTTCACATACACAGGTAGTGGTGGTCGAGATCTCTCCGGCAACAAGAGAACTGCAGAACAATCTTGTGATCAGAAACTCACCAACACCAATAGGTTCGTGGGAAACTGTTTTCTCAATTTTTAACTGATGGGCTTCTCTGAGTTCTTAGTTCTGTTTTGGGTGTCATGTGCAGCCAGTGGTAGTCCCATTAAGAGTGGTTGGATATAGAGATGTTGAGATATTCAGTTCTTCTCTTTGCTAAAGACTTGAGTCATTTAGATGTATTAAAGTGAATGTCTTCGCTAAAAGTTAAGATAATATATTAAGGCTCAGCGCCTGTGGCTCAAGGTTCTAGGGTACCAGCCACATATACCTGACCTGGTGGGTTCGAATCCAGGTCGGGCCTGCCAAACAACAATGATGGCTGCAACCAAAGAATAGCCAAGCGTTGTGGCGGGCTCCCAGCAACTTGAGGGGCGGAGGCAGGAGATTCACTTGAGCCCAGAAGTTGGAGGTTGCTGTGAGCTGTGATGCCATAGCACTCTACCCAGGGCAACAGCTTGAGGCTCTGTCTCAAAAAAAAAAAAAAAATATATATATATATACACACACACACACACACACACACACACACACAGCTTTGAGGGTCACACAGTCATTGTAGCTATTTAGCTTTGCTGTCATAGCACAAAGGCAACCATAGACCATAGTAAGTGAATGAACATGCTATATTCTGATAAAGCTTTATTTGCAAAACCAGGTGGTAGGCCACTGTTTGATTGAACCCCAGGTTATAGGATGGGGGTGGACTTTATTATCATAAAGCCCAAAGAAAGAGATTTGATTTAAATATTTAAAACATATTACAACAGTAAATTTTATAAATTAAAAGGCAGATGGCTACTTAGGAGGAAAATTTGTAACCTGACGTGGTTATGTCTTTATTATATAAAGAGCTGTTATAAGGCAACAAGAAAAACTCTAATAGAAAAAGTGAAGGATGTACAGATATTCACAAAGGAAATGCAGATGGCTAATGATGATGATAAATTGTTCAACTGTAGTATTCAAACACAAATTGAAGCAATGATGATATATACTTATTTCCCTGTACAAGTTAACCAAAAACTTAAAATGTTGTCTAATGCCAGGGAATAGATTAATATGTCAGTATTGATAGACATACAAATTGGAGGCATCTTTCTGGAGAGCTCTTTTCTCTATGAAGAACATTAAGTGTTGTGTTCATGACCCTCTGATTTCACTCTGGAAAATGTGTTTAGGAGACAGTAAAAGTAGTATTTATCATACTATCATTTAAAACAGCAAAAGGAAAAAAAAATCAGTAACTAAATGTCTATGGAATGGAAGAGTTAGTTGTATGTTTATTTAGACAAATATTTTAATTTCAGCACAGTTAAAAATCCTGTTTTCAGAAGATATTTTACAGTAAGGGGAACTGCTCATTTATCATCTTATTTAATGAAACCAGTTTATAAAAATGCTGTTTGGGCTC